AGTGAAGGGCTCACGGGCTTGAGCCCCTCTCCCCACCCAGCAACTCTATCCCAAAGCAAATGAAAATAACAAAATAAGCAGTTGAAACGGTTATTATCGCATGCAATGAACACAGAGTGATCAACTTGGCGGCTTGTTCATTTATCCAATCACTTTTGGTAGTGGTAGTGGTAGTATGTGTGGTAGTGGTGGTGGTAGTGGTAGTAGTAGTAGTAGTAGTAGTAGTAGGCTATAGTAGTAGTGGTAGTGGTAGTAGTTAGTGGTACACAGCAGCAGCCGCAGCAGCAGCATGCCTGCAGTAGTAGTTAAGTAGTCTTATGTGTTAGCAAGTTTCTCTTTTTGGAGATCAATTAATTCTTGTCTTGGCTTAACTTGTTTTAACATAGCCTAGCTTAACTTAGCTTGCTGTGGCAGTGCTTTAGTCCCAACTGTTATCGTCTCAACTCATCTCATCTCATCTCATCTCATCTCATCCTTTCTCACCTCACCTCATCTAATCTCATCTCATCTCATCCTTTCTCACCTCATCTCATCTCGTTGTAGTACAATGGTCAAAACCTTCATTGTATCATCTCATCTCATCTCTTCTCATCTCATAGTAGTAGTAGTGCAATGGTCATTGTATCATCTCATCTCATCTTATCTCATCTTTTTCTCACCTCACCTCATCCCATACCATCTCATCTCATCCAGTCCCATCTCGTCTCATCTCATCTCATCTCATCTCTTCTGTACTGGCACAACAATCATGATCGTCTTTGTATATAACCCTTCATTTCACCTCAAATCTTCCTCACAGTTGCTTATGCCCCTTGCCTTGACGGCTGGCGGCGTGGCTATCCTGAACTCAGGGTCCAGTGAAAAGCAAGAGGTTGGTGACCAGGGCACAGTACGCTATGACCTCTCACCTTTTTACCGCCCAATCGTGTCCTACACAGATGGGAGCCCGGCGTCGAGCATCTCAAGCGACTTGGCTGAAAAGTATGCGGAGATATTTAGCACGCATCCTGGAACTGCGGAGAAGATAAACCAAGACAAAGTGAGTGGTTTGGTGTCAAAATATGTTTTGTTTTGGGAAGTATTTTACTGCGCTCGTAACTACATAAGGTCATATGAGCGGGCGAGACACATTGAACGTTTTCAGTTTGGTTGGAATTAATTTTGAACTTTGCCCAGGAGGCGGCCGAAGCCAACTGTTATTAGATTTGGACCACCAAGGGATATTTAATGTGTGCAACTTGCACACAAGACTTCAGAGATTTTTCGCCCTTATCCAGAAAGGCTAGTTCCTAGATCTCACCTACCGTAAGATCAAGGATGTGGCTGAAAAGCAGTAGTAAGAAGGAGCCAAGGAGTACAAGTAGAAAAGATGCAGAAAGAATCAGGAGCCCAGAGGAGGGGACAAAGAGAGAGGGGGGAGCAGAAAGTGGAGACGAAAACAGACGACAGAACATGGTTAGAGAGCCGAAAGGAAAACGAAAGGAGAACATGAGATCATCTTAGAAAAAAAAGATTCCTGTCGCTGTCAGGTTTCGAACCCGATACCTGTTGAACGAGAGGCGAACGCTGTAACCTCTAGACCTTGAGAGCCCCCTGTTGTAATATATGTCACGGTGTGGTGGAATCAGGCGCTCGTCAATTTTGGGGTATATGGAGTTTTTGGTATAATCTCAAAGCCTGTACATTTGCCTTATCCTCAGGATATTGGCTAATAAAGGAGTTTGGGGTTGCCTGGTTTCAGAGGTTTGCTACCCCCAACTCCTTCAATAGCCAATATCCTGACTTGTATCCAAGAAAAATGGACAACTTTTTCGTCACAAGCGAGGCAAATGGACAGGCTTCGAGATCATAGGCCTACCAATAACTCAAAGTGCCGTAAAACTTTTATTAACATTAAAACTAAAGTTCTTTTTTTTGTATGTTACACTCTAGTGGCACCTCTAATCCTTAGCCCTTGTACAACCTTTTTGTGTTGCAAGTGCTGCAAAACTTTTACTAAAACTAAAACTTAAGTTCTTTTCTCTGAATGTCGTTCCGTAAAACTCTGTTTTTCAGCATTTATATGAACTGTTTGTGTTGCAAGATGCTACTCTCTGGTGACACTTCTATTATTAGGCATTTATATGATTTTTTATTTATGTTGCAAGTGCGATAAAACTCTTACTAAAACTAAAACTAAACTTCTTTTATTTGTATGTTAGCCTACTCTCTAGTTGTTCCACTATTGATCAGCATTTATATGACTATCCCCGTGGTTTTAGGCAAAATAAATTCTGAAATTATGCAAACTGAGCTAAAAAATGATTCTGTTCATTTTAACAAAGAATGATAAAGGAAAATAATCAGAAATTATGCAAACAATGATCAAATTGTGCTAAATTATACGGGGTGCATAAAACCACGGGGACAGATATATGACCAATTTGTACTGCAAGTGCAGTAAAACTCTTACTAAAACTATTATGTGTCTCTGCAGTCCTCCAATGTCTCCGAGTACCTCCTATGGAAAATGCATGACGTTGGTTTCGACATTTTCTCACAACGCTTCCCTATAGGAGCGGAATTTTTACCCCAAAGTAACAACAGCATTAAGGGCGTGGCTTTGTATAACGATAGGGCGTGGCACGCCAAGCCGGTAGCTCTGGTGCAGATGCTGAACGCGTTCATCCGAGAATATGTAGGAGATGATTATTCGTGAGTACATTAAGTTCTTTAATTAATGATCCATTTTTATCCTGTTATGTTCTAAATATGTCTGACTTCATTTTTTTTGTCTGTCTGTCTGTCTGTCTGAGTGTCTGTCTGTCTGTGTGTCTCTCTGTCTGTCTGTCTCTCTGTCTGTTTATCTATCTATCTCTCTTTCTCTCTCCCCCCCCCCCCCCCGCCCCCACTTTGTTCACACACACACACACACACACACACACACACACACACACACACACACACACACACACACACACACACACACACGTACACACACACAAAGGCACGTGCACACACACACACACACACACACATGCATGGGGGCTGTTGAACTTGTGATCTTACGATCATTCATGTTATTGTTGCGTTTCGGTAATTAGCTGTGGATTGTTTTGTAAATTCCAATAAAGCAGGGGAGATTACTCTCACTACTTCCTCTTCCCAACCGATCAGCTGTTTGGCCGTTGTCTGCTAAATTTTGTTTCCCTCATCATGGCAAGTTAAATCAGATCTAGACTCTAGTACCCATTCAACAGAGGCTCACACACACATACGCACACACACAAACAGTTTTTGTTACGAGATAAAGGATCAAAATATTAGAGATAAAGTGAAGATCTGTAGAGTTAAGATAGTTTATTTCATCCCGAGATAATATGTGTCACGACGTCATGGTGGAATTGGGCACTCGTCAATTTTTGGGCATGTGGAGTTATTGGTGTCATCTTAAGGGGGGGGGGGGGTTACACCTGGAGGCTATCTCGCTTATTACTGGACCGAATTTTATCAAATTTCACACATATAACAAGCATAGTAAGGAGTCCTAAAATCCGCAATTAAATTTGAGAAAAAAGTTTCGTTTCCATGGATACGCCGCCATATTGGATTTTATTGACATGTTTTACGTAATGAATACCGCACTTATTGCTCATGGAAATTGATTGTTTTTTTACATGCGTGTTTACAAACATTAGATCTAAAAATTTGTCAGTTGTATTTTTCCTAATCGAATTAGAAAATTTTTAATGAATTTTTTCCCGAGGTAGCATTCAAGTTTGCGAAAAATCCGTGAAAATCCACACTCCAGACACCACCAACAAAAATTTATTCTTTAACGTGCGCAACTTGCACACGGGCCCTCCGAGATTTTTTGCCCTTGTCCGAGAAGGCTAGGTGTAGATCTTTCCTACCAGAAGATCATGGGTGTGGCAGAAAGACAACTGTAAGAAGGAGCCAAGGAGTAGCAGTAGAAAGGCTGCAGAAAGAGTCAGGAGCCCAGAGGAGAGGGCAGAGGAGTTGAGGGGATGGGGGCAGAAAGAGGAGACTAAAGCAGCCGACAGAATATTGCTAGAGAGCAGGAAAGGAGGTGAAAGGAGACAATTTTAGAGAAGAAAATTTTTCTGTCGCTACCCGGATTCGAACCCGGAACCTTTGAATGAGAGGCCAACACCTTAACCTCTAGGCCACGAGAGCCCCCGTTTCAAGTCCAACAAAAGCAAAGATCATTAATTGAAGTGTAAAAGAAAGAATGAACTTGATTTTTCAACTATTTGCATTATTCTAAAAAAAAGTTGAAAAAACAATCTTCAAGACATGGCTTTTAATAATAAATGCAGTCTGGTAAGGAATTTTATTGACTAACCAGACACACACATCATATCAGAGGGAACAGTTGACAATTTCCCGGTAACATATTATTCTATCACTTTTATGCAAAGCATGAACTGACAAGTTAGCCTTTAACTTTAAAACTTCAAGTATTATTAAATTATGAAATGGGAAGAAGAAAAGGAAAAAAAATAGCACAGCAAAGTGGAGGGTCAGAAGCCCGCCTCCTAAATGATCTAAATTGTGTCCCTGGGGGAGTAAAAACAGCGACAGTAAAAAAAATAAATAAATAACAGTGAATTATTATATTATATTATATTGTATTTTATATTATATTATTATTATATTATTTACATTTTATCATATTATATTACATTTTAATATAGGCGTTTTATATTATATTGCATTATATTATATTAGACAGATTATATTATGCTGTTACAGTATAGAATAGTAAAGTATCGTATCGCATTGTTTTAGATTAGATTACATTAGGTCATATGAATCAATATAATACATTAGTTAGAGAAAATAGTTTTTAGAAAAGGCCAATCCTCATGGACTGACCCATATGTATACATGTAAATGTGGTAAATGTGACCGACTGTTTCAATTTTGATACATCATTTTTTTTATTGCGTTATTTCTCTATATAGCATGGCCAGTGTTCAGATCAGTCTCGACCTTCACTATTTGTCATCGTGTTATTTCTCTGTGTGTACTGCAATAAGTATTCAGATCAGTCTCCATCTTCATTATTATTTCCATTGTTATTTCTCTGTGTACTGTATGCAGTAATCAGGCAGGTCACCACCTTTATTATTTATCATCGTGTTATTTCTCTGTGTGTACCTCGTGCAGTATTCAGACCAGTCTCCACTTTCATTATTATTTTTATTGTTATTTCTCTGTCACCTGTACCATACTCAGTATTTATCATTGTGCTATTTCTCTATTATGTGTACTGTGTGCAGTATTCAGATCAGTCTCCACCTTCATTATTATTTATCATCCTGTTATTTCTCTATCATGTGTACCGTGAGCAGTATACAGACCAGTCATTATTTATCATCGTTTTATTTCTCTGTGTGTATCGTGTGCACACAGACCAGTCATGTAGGTGGTTGGCGGGTGCTCTGGTGTGGTTTGCTTATTCTTCTATCCTATTTAATGTCTATCGTCTTTATCTCCCCTCCTTTTTTGTGTTGTTACTCTCTTGTAACACCTCTAATCTTCTGCACTTACATGACTTTAGTTGCCAGTTGCCAGTGCCGTTAAACTTCTACTAAAACAAAAAAGACCAGTCGTCATTTCTCTCTCATACTATGTACCGTGTGCAGTATTCAGGCCAGTCTCCACCCTATGCCGAAACCGATGTTGGCCAGAGGCTCGTCCTTCCGCGACACTGGGGACAATTTGAAGAACATCTACCCACTCACCATATTCCTCTCCCTCGGGATGGCCTACCTCCTAAGCAGCTTTGCCTACACCCTCATTGTAGAGAGACAGGTTAGTGGGTGGTTGGCGGGTGCTCTGTTGTGGTTTGCTTCTTTTTTCCTTGTATCAAACAACTATCGTCCTCATCTCCCCTCCTTTTTTTATGTTTGTTACTCTCTTGTAACTCCTCTAATCTTCTGGCGCTCATATGACTTTATGCAGTTGCGAGCGCCGTAAAATCTGTACTAAAACTAATCTAAACTTTTTTGTGTATGTTACTCTCTAATCCTCTGGCGCTCATGTGACCTTTTTCCAGTTGCGACAGCCGTAAAACCTTCACTAAAACAAACAGAGACAATTTGGTTTTCACTTTTTATTAATGTTAAGTGGTTTTTTTAATTTGTTTGGGGTTGTTTTTTTAAAGGGGGGGGGGGTCGTTTTGTTTTGTTAGAAAATAGGGAGGGGTCCATTTCTGTTTGATTTTGTCTACTTTCTCTCTGGTTGTGCTCAAAGAAGTCTGCATTTCGCTACTCTAGAATTACAAAGTTCTATCTGCTCAGTACCTAGTTTTGACAAATTTGACGTTTAAAAAAACAACTGAGTTTCACTTGTTGAGCTTTTTCGAATGCAGTTCTTAGAATATCTTGATATCGACTCTGAATCTTCTTAAGATTGGGATAGAGCAGATAGATCATCTATTTGGTTTCTGATTTCATGGTCTTAATAACTCAAAATGGCCAAACATTTCAGATAGAACTTTGTAATTCTAAGGTAGCAATATTTGCCGCGCACTTATAAAAGCATTAAGGAAAAGTACAGACGTAATTTTCTGAGACACTTTTACTGTTATTTCAATTTTACCTTTATTCAAACCACCATAACCCTGTCAGAAATTAAGTTAATTTCTCTCCCCACTCCCCCTCCCCTCCTCACCCCCCTTCTTAGCGCGGCTGCAAACACCTTCAAGAGGTCAGCGGGGTCAACCCGTTCATTTACTGGCTGGCCACCTTCCTGTGGGATTATATCATCTACCTGGCCGTCGTCATCGGCATCATCGTTATCTTCTTCGGCTTCGGCGAGACGGCTCTCATCGGCGAGGACGCCTTTGGCCCCCTCATCTTCATGTTTCTGCTGTTCGGGTTCGCCGCCTGTTTCTCCAGTTACGTCTTCCAGTTCGTGTTCAAATCTCCACCAACGGGCTTTGTGGTGACTCTCATCCTGTACTTTATCCTCAGTAAGTGTCGCAATATTTCTTAATATTTGAGGCATCGTGGTGAAATCAGGCGCTTGTCCCATATAATGAAATCAAAGAAACTGGCATTTTTCCACCGGTTTGGAAATTTTAAAAGAATTTTTGCTGTTTGGTTTAGCAACGTTTCTGTCCATTTAAAAACACATGTTAATGTATATTTTGCTGAGGAAAATTGATTAAAGGCACACAACATGTAAAATTTCAGTTTCCAAGGACTCTCAAGCTATTGAAGTCGCAAAACTTTGGTGGCCATTTTCTCGTTAATTTTACCTCTGAAACCAAGCAACCCCCACCTCCTTCAATCAGAAATTCTCAACTTCTATTCAAGATAGATGGGTATTTTTCCATTGAAGGCAAGGTAAATGTTCAGACTTTAAGCTGATGCCAATATCTCCACTTGTCCAAAAAATGACGAGCGCTTGATTCCACCATGTCGTGACACATACTTTGCTCTCAGTAAGTGTCGTAATAGTTCTTACATCATTACTATATCCTCAGTAAGTGTCGTAATAGTTCTTATTTCATTACTATATCCTCAGTAAGTGCCGTAATAGTTCTTATTTCATTACTATATCCTCAGTAAATGTCGTAATAGTTCTTACATCATTACTATATCCTCAGTAAATGTCGTAATAGTTCTTACATCATTACTATATCCTCAGTAAATGTAATAGTTCTTACATCATTACTATATCCTCAGTAAATGTCGTAATAGTTCTTATTTCATTACTTCGTCCACAGTAAGGACCGTAATATTTCTTTTATTATTACTTTGTCCACAATAAATGCAGTCTTATATCATTACTTTGTCCTCAGTAGGTGTCATATTATTTCTGATAACATTACTTTTGTCCTCAGTAAGTATCGTAATATTTCTGATACTTTGTCCTTAATGTAAGTGCCGTATTTTTTCGTATATAATTGTTTTGTCCTCAGTGGGTGTCGTCATATTTCTTATGTCATTACTTTGTCCTCAGTAAGTGCCGCAGTAAATGCCGTAATATTTCTTATATTATTATTACTTAGTTCGCAATAACTGCCGTGATATTTCTTTTATTACTTTGTATTATTTTTTCGCAATGAGTTCTGTAATATTTCTTTTATTATTCCATTATCCTTAGTACGTGCCCTAATATTTATTTTATTATTATTTAGTTTGCAATAAATGGCGTATTATTTCTGCTATTACATTGTATTGCTTAGTTCGCAGTAAGTGCTGTAATATTTCTTATATTATTACTTATTCACAATAATTGCCGTTATATTTCTTTTATTATTCATTCGTTCTCAATAAGTGGCATAATATTTTTTTTATTCCATTGTATTGCTTTTTCGCAACAAGTGCCGTGTTATTACTTTATTCACTTATGCCTTAATACTTCTTTTATTATGTCTTCTTATGTTCGTAATAAGTGCCGTAATAGTACATGTAATTTTATTGCATTGTATTACTTTTTCTCAGCACCTTTCATGTTCCCTTAATGACATAGGGCCTATAATATATAATTTCTATGTTGATTTGATACACCAAACATCTATCTTCCTTATATCTCTTCTCCTTCCTTTTTGTGTTTGTATTGTTACTCTTTTGTAGCACCCACTAATCTTCATATTATATATGACCAAATATGTTGCAAGTGCTGTAAAAACTCTTACGAAAAACTAAAGCTAAAAAACAAAAGTTCCTCAAATGTCGCTGTCTGGCCCACAGGTCTGTTCACAAACCTTATGCTGACAGCGATCAAGTCCAAATGGCGCAATGACTTTCGGGTGAGTATTCCTTGACAATGTCCATAGATATATTATAGTCACTACCCTGGAATTACAAAGTTCTATCTGCTCAGTAGACATAGTTTTGAGAAATTTGATTTTTTTAAAATGGTGAGTTTCACAACATGGTCAAGCTTTTTCAATTGCCATTTCTTGAGTATCGACTGCAAATAATATTACGATTTTGATAGAACTGATAGAACATTTGGTTTCTAAACTCATTTTCTTGGTAACTCAAAACGGTCAATAATGTCAGGCAGAATTTTGCGAATCTAAGATAGGGTAGTGTCCCACTGGAAACTGTAAAAACCGCTCAGTAAAAAAAACATGTCTAGGTTTTGTTATGTCCATAGACACTGTCATTAAAAAACTACTCTGAAATATATTTTTATGTCATTATAGTGTACGTTTAGTTTTTGGGCTAAACACCTTCTATTTTTAATATATATTATGTCTAGAGTCGTTTTGTACATAGATATTGCCATACTGACTATAAAACTACTTCGTAATATCTTGGGTCGTTTTGTTCATAGATATTGCCCTACTAATAACTATAAAACTACTTCGTGGGTGGTTGGCAGGTGCTTTGGTGTGGTTTGCTCCTTCTTTCCTATCAAACGTCTATTGTCCTTATCTCTCCTCCTGTCCTCCTCCTTTTTTGTTTGTTAACTCTCTTGTAAGACCTCTAATCTTCGGCACTTATATTATGACCTTATTGTGTTGCAAGTGCCGTCAAACTCTTACTTAAACTAAAAAAGAACTACTTTGTAATAATATGTTTAGAGTTGTTTTGTGGGTGCTTGGCGGGTGTTCTGGTGTGGTTTGCTTCTTCTTTTCCTATCAAACACCTATCGTCCTTATCTTCCCTTCTTCCTTTTTATGTTTGTTACTCTCTTGTAACACCTCTAATCTTCTGGCGCTCATACGACCTTATGCAGTTGCGAGCAGGGGCGAAGGCTGACTTGTTTGACAGGGTAATCAAAGTGAAATGGGACCAGATAGGGCCTGTAGATATCACACAAAAATCTTACTCGAGGCGGCGACTCTGAGTTGTGAATGAAAACAAATCCGGAATTCATATTGTATGTTCAACCGCCAAAATAATCGGGAAAGTATCTTATTAAATATCAGTTCCCACTAAAATTAAACTTAACTTTAGATGTGAATACATAAACATAAAGCAAAGAAGCAGAGATGTCAGTACTAGATCTATATGTTATAGATCTACCAGTGAGTCTAACTCTTTGGTAGAACATGACAATTATTATTTTTTAAATTTCACATTTGGCTGTTTTTGTTAGCCTTTCGCGGCCAGGAGCTGGTGTCATAATCGAGGTCACGATCTGATTATAGGACGGTAAAAAGTCGAGAAAAAAACCCAAGCACAAGCAGCAGTCAAGAGATTATTAAGAGTTAGTTCCCCTCACATTTGTGAGGTAGACTCGACCAGTGTTAGTTAGCTTACTTAATCAGGGCTGGTGATTGATTTTAACTGTGACCCCAAAGGGGTGAACAGGGTATATGTGGCAATGAAACAGCTTTGACTGCCATGCACATGTTCCCTTCAACTCTATTCCAGCCTCACTTTATTTGTTGATTACGAACGTCTTTTGACATTTAATTTATGAGGTTTACGTTTAAGGATGAATTTGACAGCGACAATGTTTCAAAATTAGAATTAGGGAAGCAGTGATTATTTGATTATATAGACGCTTCGCCCCTGGTTGCGAGTGCCTTAAAACCTCTACTAAAACAAACAAAACAAGGGTTGTTTTGTTCTTAGACAGTGTACCGGCGTTTGTGCTGTAGCAGTGTATAGGCGCTTTGCTGTCGCACGCAGGAGATAAGATTTAGATCCCAGCAGAGTGGGGACATAATTATTTAATTTTTTTTCAGTACCTCGATCTTTCTGCCAGATTAATGTTGTATCCTTCTCAGGCCGGGTTGGTCCTGATAGACAGGGCTGGATGCCCACCTCTTAAATGATTTATTAAGTTGTGTCAATGGCGGCATAGAAATGCCTACTTTAAAATCTTTAAAAAAAAAAGAAATCCATTGTAGTTAGTTTTCTACTGTAAGCTATATAACTACCCAGTAGTATAGTACGTCTAGGGTTTGTTGTATATTGTTGTTGCTGCTTTTGTTATTGTTAACATGTTGTTTAACTTTTTCTTCCTTTTTTTGTCCTCCCTATTCTTCTTCTCCTTCATTATTATTATAATTTTTAAATTATTATTTATTATCATTATTATCTCATCATCATCATTATGATGATAATGATTAATATTATTATTATTATTATTATTATTATTATTATTATTATCATTATTATTTTTATTATTATGTATCTTTGTCCACATTCCTTACTGTGCTCAATGCACGGTTTCCACTCTTTAAATTCGGCCAACACTTCATGGACAAGTATATCTGGCACTCTAGAAATAGAAACCCTGTTGAGGGTCTTTCTTGTTCTTGTTCTTGTTCTTGTTCTTGTTCTTGTTCTTCTTGTTCTTCTTCTTCTTGTTCTTCTTCTTCTTCTTCTTCTTCTTCTTCTTCTTCTTCTTCTTCTTCTTCTTCTTCTTCTTCTTCTTCTTCTTCTTCTTCTTCTTCTTCTTCTTTTTCTTCTTCTTCTTCTTCTTCTTCTTCTTCTTCTTCTTCTTCTTCTTCTTCTTCTTCTTCTTCTTCTTCTTCTCCTCCTCCTCCTCCTCCTCCTCCTCCTCCTCCTCCTCCTCCTCCTCCTCCTCCTCCTCCTCCTCCTCCTCCTCCTCCCCTCCTCCTCCTCCTCCTTCTTCTTCCTCTTTTTCTTCTTCAATTATTATCATTATCATTATCATAATAATAATGATGGTGATGATGATGGTTATTGTTGTTATTATTATTATTATTATTATTATTATTATTATTATTATAATAATATAAATTATTATTATTATTGTTTACTATTATTATCTATAGCTTTGTCCCCATTCCCCAGAATTTGTTCAGCGTGCTGTTTCTGCCATTCAACTTGAACAAATTCATCACGGACTATTATAACTGGCACTCCGAAGTCCCTTCAAAGCTTGCGTTTGCTGGTAAGCATTGCACTATTGATAATAATCATAATAATAGAATAATTAAAATGATAGTAATAATAACAATGAGGATGATAATAATAATGATAATAATAATAATAGTAATAGACAGCATTTATATAGCCTAAATTCCTGCTCAACAGCAAGCTCTATGCACTTTACAATCTATACAGTCAGGGGACTTTATCATTCAACATAACCAACCACTAACTTATTATTAACATAACCGACCACTGACTTATCATTACACATAACCATCTTATTGACCCTATACGTACATCGTGTTTTACTATCATATCCTTACGACGTGGGGAACTCAGTGCCACCACTTCCAAAGAGGAAATTTACTCGTTCATCCGATCCCTACGCTTTGCATAGAGGTCTGTCAAAATGATTTTTTGAGAAATACTGAAAGTTTCAAAGAGATCTTCGTACTAGAAGTATTCTAAATTGTAAAGAATACAACCCTGAGGGTACAAAGTGACCCCAAGGAGTACGGTAGGGTTAAACATAACCAACCTCTCCAACCTCTGACCTTATCGCAAACATAAATGATACCCCCCGGGGCAGTGCCACTGACTGAAGTGTCTTTAAGCCATTCCCAAAGGGGGGACATTTCTCGTTCAAGCACAGTAGAATTGTATACCGGCTGATCT